TAGAAAGACATGTATACTAATTCTGATTGATCTGTAAACTATAAACGCTTAAGAAACATGATAAAATTGCCTTCCTTCTCTCTATATAAAATTTGCTTGGAATCCATGCGGTTTTCGGATGGATTTCTTGCAAATGGGACTGGACCCTTCGACCGACACGTGAACGAAAGTCACGCATGCGTACTATCATTTCTATCTCCGTTGCAAGAAATCCATCAGAAAAGCGCATGGATTTCAAGCAAATTTCGCATTGAGTGGAGGAGAGTATTTACGACATGGACTTGAAGCAAATATAGTACATGTTCCAAACTTTTCTTGCATAAAGGGTAATACTCAGTAATACATGTGTAATACTTTGTAATATAGTAATATTTTGGTAGTAGTATGTAATACTTGTAAAAAGTGTAATACTAAGGTAATAATGGTAATATGTGTAGTTGTAGTCAAGTGTACCCAATTTTTACTAGTAAATTCCCCCTCGTATATTACCAAAATATTGGGCTGAGAAATTTTTTTTTTTGCAGCCTTGTGTTATTATTTATTTATTAGCTCGGATATATTACATATGAAAACATTTATATAGAATATATTTTTTATTATTTTTATTTACTTTATTTTATCCTTTTTTATTTGCAAAGACTATTATTTAAACAGAAAAAAGAATTTTTGCCCAATGTAAAAGCGGTTTATATATTAAGTCTACTTTCATTTTGAACCTTCAACGAAAATGTAATTTACGTATCAGTCTAATTTCATTTACCTTCAACGAAAATGTAATTTACATATTCATTCAAGTTTCGCCTTAAACATTTGCTCACATGCGAACATTTTAAGATTTAAACCATCTCTTCTGAACGCGGAGATAGAACTTTCCCAAGGTAACCTAAAAATATTCAGCGAAGCTTTAAGGAATTATCGGTGCTGTATGGGTATTATTAAAATATTATAAATAATTTGATTTGTATAGATTAAGATTATTGAGAAAATAATATTTAATCGTTATAGAGCTAGGTATTAATTAAACTATGAATAATTTTAATAAAAATTGAACCGTATCAAATATTCTTTGACTTTCGAGTGGAATTACTTGAAAGCAAAACTTATACACAACTGTCCATAGTCGGATCCCTGGAAAAAAAATTCAGTAGTTATTAAAATATAAAACTCATAGAAACCAAATTTTCCATTTTTCAATAGCATTTGATTTGAGAATAATCCTTTACAGCACTGGATATATAAGGATATCCCTGTCACATCTGATGGATATCCATTTCCTTCTAGCAATTTAGATATCCCCAGAATATCCTAAGTATATCCCAGGTGTTCGTTTAATTTATCTTTTCTTTTTTTCCTGTTTTTGGTTTTGAGTGGCTCGGTGGAAATCGTGGGGGCACAGTAGGAGGAAAATGGAATTTACTATTCAAAAATGTCCAGAGCCTTCATTTTTGAACCGATTTAATTAAATTCGTTTTTTAAATAAAAGATTATAAAATTCAAAATTTACATGTTATGAACAAATTATTGTTAACAAGTAATGAGGGTTACAACAAATTGTTTATTTCGTTAAAGGCTCTGTTAAATTTTGATAAAATTGTTTATTCGGGGATTTTTGGGCTCGCTGATTATGAATCAGATGTCAGGTTTTAAAAATGGCGGATCCAATATGGCATACATTTTTTTTGAATTTACTTAAATTCGCCTGAAACTCGTTACTCGGGAATTTTTGGGTCACTGATTATGAATCCGATGTTAGGTTTTAAAAATTCAAAACGGCGAATCCAATATGGCAGATATATATTTTTTTTAATTTACTCAAATTCGCCTGAAACTTGTTACTCAAAAAACTTCATAGTACTTTTTACAACCCACAACTTCTTATATTAATCTTAAAAATGGTAAACAAATTTATTGTTGCATTTTTTATATCCAAATGGAAAAATCAATAAAAAAATTTAAAAATTATTTTTAAAAATTTTCTGATATTAATTAAAACCAAAATGAAATATAAATATGATATTTATTGATAAATCTAAGAATATTTTAGTAGTAATTTTTTATGTGCCATTCGCCTATTATAATAGTAGATCTTATGTTCTACAAAATTATAACGTTTTGGAATTTCACAAAAGCAAAATTAATACAAACAAATAAAAATTCTGTTTTCTTGAAAGGATCAAATTGAAACGAATTGATCTCCATATTCGGATCAAAGTATAAATTGATCCAAATACTAATAGTTTAGACATTGAAGAAGTAATGGTTAGTTTTAATGCATTTTTGTCAAAAATAGCAAAATTTTAAAAAAATGTCCGCCATATTAGATCCGCCATTTTATATTTTTAAAAACTAACATCGGATTCATAATCAGCGATCCCAAAAACCTCCGATTAAACAATTTCATCAAAATTTAACAAAGCCTTTAACGAAATAAACAATTTGTTGTAACATTCATTATTTGTCAACAATAATTTGTTTATAACATGTAAATTTTGACTTGTGTAATTTTTTACTGTATACAGAGTACCAAAGGAAAGTTTTTAAACAGTTTTTACCCTGTGGCACTCACTTATTGTTTCAGGAGATCGCTTTTTCTTAAAAATTGCTACTTTTGTTACACTTTTCAATAAACAAATTAATATAAATAAATAAAAAAATTAAAAATCGGGCTCGACAATTCTCTTCTAAATTTTATAATCTTTCATTTAAAAATCGAGTTTAATTAAATCGGTTGAAAAATGAAGGCTCTGGACTTTTTTGAACAGTAAATTCCATTTTCCTCCCACTGTGCGGCGCAAGCTCGGGTCTTCGGCTTTTTTTGGTTTTCGACAGTTATAAGAGTTCTCACGAAGGAAATGGAAGGCGGCATAATGCACACAGTTTCTTTCTGACCGTGGACGAACTTACTCGACTACAAGATAAGTCTTCTTGAAGGTTTAATCCAGTAATCGCCAGGATCACAGACTAGGACAACGAGGACTGCCGGAGTTGTTTATGTGCCTTTAGGACTGGATAATCATCGGATTGATCCTACCGAGCCAACAGCCGATCGTCTATGCCACGTGGACCCATTGGGTATTTTCTTCCAATTTTTCTGTTCTCAGTAAGTTAAATAAATCTGTTTCGTGTTAGTATCTTTTTTAGGGTTCCGTACACCTTCGGTGTACCGACGGAACCCTTATGAAAAGACTGTTGCGTTCGTCCTAGCTTTGTGTCCCCCTTTAACTTCTACATTTTTGTATATAAAGAACTGCAATTTGGTACACATACGTATTTTCACGTGTTGATTACAGGAGAAATATAATAAGACCGATTAAACTTGATGTCTACGAGCTACAAAGGAAAGAAATCGTTTTTTTTTAAATTGCAAAAAATGACCCTGTCCTCCCCCTTATCTTCCACATTTTGCTATATGAAAAACTGCAATTTAGTACACATAGTATCAAGAAAATTTTTTTCTTATTTTTTGTACTTATAACACCGAAAAGATTTAAAGAAAAAATTATTCATTTTTCGTACTTTCGTACTAATGTTTTTAACTTCCGACATAATCTAAAATAATGTATGGAAAAATTTGCCAATTCTACAACATAATCTTTAAGATCTCAGCTTTAATTTGCATTTTTGAAACTTAAAAAATGTTTTGTGGTTCCTGGAATATGTTATTGAATTTTGTTATAAACCTTCCTTTTCATGTATAAAGCAAATATATTGAGAATAGATTGTAATAAATTGAGAGTTAATTTAATTTGACTCTATTTATTTATTTCACTTTGATGTGTCTCATGTTTCATTTTAACAACTTCTCTTACATACCGTCTATCCGGGTTTATTGAATTAATAATTTACTGAGAGGTAGTCCACTACCTTATTCTAAACATTGTTTAGCGAAGAGCATTTACGCTTTATCTATGAGCGGAATTGCTAATAATAACATTTAAATTGGAAATTTAAATATTATTATTTTATTAAATTTTTCTTTTGTTAATTTAACTTCCGTCTTTAACACGTACTAAAACAATACGAGGAACCAGAAATCCTGTTATAGGGTGGCCGCAAGTCAGGGAAAAACTGGAAATCAGGAAAAAGTCAGGGAATTTTGACCGCAGAATTTTGCTCCTGACCAGCTAGTCGTCATTAAAGACGACATATATCCCCCATCCAAAAGGGCTCTAGGAAGAGTTCTTCAGTTTTTTCGTCTGGTCGACGAAGGCAGGCGGAATTTTTTTGTTTGATTTATCTTTTCTTTTGTTTTTCCTGTTTTTGGTTTTGAGTGGGTCGGTAGAAATCGTAGGGGGTCGGCGCCGGGTTGAGTCTTCGGCTCTTTTTGGTTTCCGACAGGTATGGGAGTTCTCACAAAGGAAAGGGAAGGCGGCATAATGGACACAGTTTCTTTCTGACCGTGGACGAACTTACTCGACTACAAGATAAGTCTCCATAAAGGTTTAATCCAGTAATCGCCAGGATCACAGACTAGGACAACGAGGACTGCCGGAGTTGTGTATGTGCCTTCAGGACGGGACCTTTCACCTTGCACACTCTTTCCTCAAACTCAATCACTCAACCACCACGGATATCCAAGCTCCTGCCAGCAAATGGATATCCTAAGGATGTTCCAAATATATCTTCAAACATCCGGTGCTGTGTGGAGAAATTTTGTTACATATTCATGTCATTTATAAAATGTTTATATAATTTTAATGATGTTATGTTAGAACAATAAATATACTCATATAAAGCAAAAAGAATATTGCTTAGAAGTTCGTAGAATTTCCTCAAGATCCAGGTATATTATAAGGGTAAATTTCATTGTAAAAAATTCCTTGAATTAGAATAACATATTGTTTAAAACTTGAAACTACATTATCCTGTTTTGGAAAATAACGCCTTTCTTAATTCATAGTATCACAATCCTCAATTTTTATATTACAAAAAATGATATTTTCATAATGTTTTGTTGATTAACATTTTTATGGTTTATTATTTACAATATTAATTTTTAGGCATATGTAGATCTAGTCAAAGCTTGGGGATGGAAAAGTTTTACTATAATTTATGAAAATAATGAAGGGTTAGTACGTCTACAGGAGCTTTTAAAAGCTCATGGCCCTAGTGAGTTTCCAATTACTGTGAGACAGCTTGGGGAAGGCCCTAACTATAGGTACGTATGAAAAATCTCAGCTTTGGATAAAAAAAAGAAAAAAATCTTACCTGTTACCCCGAAAAAGTCAAATTTATTTTTGAGTTTTATTATTTTTTGTCAAATTTTTTTTTCAAAAATGCATATTACCAATCGAAAGAGCATCAAAAAAGCTTTCGAAACTGATATTGATAAAAAAATTTATTTTGATATTCGAAAAAAAATATTAAAACATGATGTGTACCGTAAAAACCTAAAACTTTCACCTTCTCCCCCTTGGAAAATATTGGTTTAAATATATAAGAAAACATATTCTAAATTTTGTACTGATTTATTTTATTGTATTTGAGAAAAAAATTCCTGAAATTTACACAGTTTTTTTTACGTTTTAATATACGTTTCCCTTTTAAGATAATCCAATAACTTAAAATTTTGGTCGACTTTTTTCTCAGAGAATACCCTATAATACAATTGTTAATTTCTTTTTTTTATTTTGCAGAGAACTTCTAAAACAAATAAAAAACTCTGCAGAATCGCACATTGTTTTAGATTGTTCTACAGAGAAAATATATGATGTTCTAAAGCAAGCGCAACAAATAGGAATGATGACTGATTATCACAGCTATCTTATTTCATCTCTGGTATGATAAGCAATTAAATTTGTATATATTTCATATTATATGGATTTTTTTAAAGTTAAACGTCAAAAACAGATCTAAGGGACACAAGAATATTTCCCTATAAGCATTCACAAGCTCTCAGTCTAGGGATTTCTTTAATATTATAATATTTCTATCCTTTTAATTTATGAAGTACATCTTGTCAGCTGTGTGCACAAAAATATATATCATACACGGGGAATCTGAAGGATATCCCATGAGATGTCACACAGAACAGAAATTTGGATATCCTATGTAGGATATCCATTCAATATTCTCAGTATATCCCTGGGGTATCCAAATTTTCATCCCATGGGATATTCCAGGGCTATCTAAGAGATATCGCGGTATGAATATGGGATAACCACATAATATCCCATGCTGTAAGGGTATATTCTTAATTTTTATTATTCAATATAATAAAACGCGTATGAACTATATCATCAGATAAGATTTTTAAAATATAGCAGAAATTTATTAATGAAATTCTTATTGATTTGTTTTGCTTATTCTTATTCTATATTTATTTTATTATCTTTTATTTTTTAAGTGTTTGTCGCTTTTCAAACTAAATTAGTGGATGTTACATCCCGACATATATAAATTTTCATTTTATATATAGAATTATAAAAATTGCTATTATGCGAATTTTCCAATAGCCCCTTTCCATAGGCAGTACCGATTGCATTTAAAATTCACGTATATTAATTAGTTATATATTTAAATAAAAGGGATATGTTTATATGTATATAAGAGTATGTGCGTATGTACACACATAAAATTATATTATTCATATACCTAATTGTTTAAAAGTTTTTAAATTATCAACTGAATCTTTTAAAGGAAATGTTACCATCTCATTCATTATCTTGAGAGATGATAAATAATCGACATAACTATTATCATAGTGAAGTCGGTATGATAGAGACACATACGATTATAAGAAAAATCGTACGTGCTCTTAAACGTTTTAGCTAAAAACGTGCTCTTAAACGTTTTAGCAAAAATCGTGCTCTTTTTCCAAATCATCCCCAATGAAGTAATGAATTGACTAGTATATAAACCCATTGCAAATTAAGAGGAGATCTCAAAAGTTCCGGTGTAATCTCCGTGATTAATATCATTATTGAGCGACCCTTCAGTTTATTTCGCGAAAGTTAATCTATTCTTTCCTGTGACAAGGTGCAAGTTTTTGTGTTTCACTTAGAACGAATTCTTTCCTGAAAAGGTGCAAGAGAAGCAATATTAATATTTAGAACATAGTTCTTTCCTGAAAGAGTGCAAATTAAATTATTTTTCATTTAGAATAGTTTCTATTTAGAATAGATAAATTCATTGATTTAACTGTCGTAATTTTACAATAAAATAAAGCAGATTCTTGATTATAATTCACAAATTGCTTCTCTTTCACATTCAGAATAGAGTTCCTTCTTGTACAGGTGTAAGTGACGTAATACAACGAATTATAACTCGAAATAGAACGCTTTATTATCAAAAACATTAAAGTTGTGTGAGTGTCACAGAATTGTGACCCGACAAACTGTATCTTCATTCATTCAAAGCAAATTCCGAGGTCTTGTATAACAACTCAGCGACTTCATTGAAATACGAATCTTCCTCGTAAAAGTGAGTAATCATATATGTAATCTATTTTCTTAAATCATAATTATAATAAACTATTATAAAAGGGAATATTTGTCTTTTATTATTGTATTTAACGCAAGACCCATAGTCTTTATAAAGTGACAACGATCCTACAAAATAAAAATATCAGGTCTTACTATCCTGATTAATCAGCACAACCCTCCCAAGTAAATAAATTGATTATTTGTTTAAAAACCAAGCCTTAGCTCGGGATGTAACAGCTGATTTGGTGGCAGCGGTGGGATGTCACTTTTCTTTAATAAACAATAATATTCTATTATCGACAATAAAATCTTAAATTTTAAATTGATAATCTCTAAATTTTCATTATTCCTACAATTCATTAGTCACGTTCATTTCAAATAATTATCTAAAAATAAAATAAATATTAAAATTATTTATTCACTATTTCATCATTCTAACATGTTATAAATAATGAAAACTAAATTGAAACTACAAACAAAAGAAAAATTAAATATTATCAAACACGTTCAAACAAAAAAAATAAATATCAAAAACATTCAAACTAAAAAAGAATTCTCAGATTTCTTTGAAAATATTTTAAATAAAACTGAAAAAATTATAACTCTCAATAAAGAAATAATCAACATATTAGAAAATTAAAACAAAATAATTCCAATCTACAAAATAACTCAAAATAATTTAATAAAAATTTAAAAACACAATAAATTATTTAATTAATAAATTAAATAACAAATGGTGGAAACCACTTTCTCTAGAGAATTCGTGATTCCAACATTCATATATATATATTGTATTAACAAATAATAATTCATGTATAGCTATTTTGCTAATGCGGATTATAATAGATATAATTATCTTTGTATTGAATTAATATCAAATGATTTTAAATTGAATAAAGGAAAGTTTTTATCGATCATACAATAACTATTAATTTAATAAAAGAATCTGCCCTATCATCATTACCTTACATTGAGACAAATATAATAAATATTACTCGTCAAAATACTATTTTAACTAAAGGAGACGTCCACATAGAATTCTACGACTTAACAATAAAGTTTGGAGTTGTTGATTATAATAGTGACACCGAAATTATTGGAATATTAGGTGCTCCATTCTTGGATTTTAATTTTCCAACAAATTATTTTTCTAAATGGACTTCTGATTACGAAGCATCACAAAACGAAAGACTTCGTACATCAAGAAATATTTTCCGAATTTGTTTTTCTCTTTTAACACCAAGATCTTGTAGTAGAAAATCACCTTAATACATGATATGAATAAGATATGAATAAGATATCCAGTAATATCACTTTTAATATTGAATATTATCCAAAAATTCTTTACACATAACGAGTGTATATTTTTAATAAAATTAAAAACCAAGCCTTAGCTCGGGATGTAACAGCTGATTTGGTGGCAGCGGTGGGATGTCACTTTTCTTTAATAAACAATAATATTTAATTAATTAATTTAATTTTAATTAATTTATTTAATTAATATTTAATTATTTAACAATTAATATTTTTTTTACCAATAAATTTAATCAAAGAAAGCGAATTAAATCCATATCTGGGCATAAATCGCATAATAAAATATTCATTACGCGACAGCACCATAAACACATGTGGAGAAGCAAAAGTGTGTATAAATTATACTGTATTAGAATTTCAAACAATACATTGTGAAAGTCATACTGATATTGCGGGGGTACTAGGACTTCCTTTTTCCTTGATATAATTAACGAGTTATTTTAATCATTCCTCCTGTATTTAGCAAACCATTAACAACAATGGCTAATGATAATACTAGACACACCATGACAGGTTATATAGATAGAACCCTAAGGGATTCTATGATCACTTCTATGACAGAATGTTTTGCGTTACAACAAGGTATGATGGACATTCCCTTTTATGATGGTAAAAATATACTTGTAATAGATTTTATTGAGGACATTCTAGTATACCAATGGATTGTGAAGATCAATATTCAAATGTATTCTTTCCAGATTAAAGGGTACTGCAAGAGATAGTACTTATGGTAAGACTTATAGTAAAATAGATGAATTAATAGAACACCTAAGACAAAGATTTGCACCTCGCAAATCATACACAGGGTACTTACAACAAATATTCACAATTCGTATGAGTCGCAACGATAGTGTCAGCGAATTTTATGATAAAATATCAACCTTAATGGCAGGAGCCAAGGCAGCTCTAGAAGAAAAATATGACACAATGTGTGCCAATAACATGATGAGACCCCTAGCAGATTGTGATTTAGAATCATTTATTCGAGGACTCCCTGACCCCATGTCTAGTGCTATTGAAGCTAGAAATTTACAAACTTTAGACGAAGCATTTAAAAGTGCTTTAGAATATGAAGCCCGCCATCAATCCTATAAATCAGACTACAACACTTATTATTATTTACGATCCAATCAACCAATTGATTATGGAAACAGAGAAAGAAGCCCTAGTCCAAGAGTACGCTTTCCTTATCCTGTACAGCAATCCAGATATTTTTCTCAATCAACAAGCCCTTCAGGAATATTAAAGAACCCTTATTCATCTCAATTTTTAGGCATAAATAAGCAACAACCGTATTTTAACCATCCTAATTATTTTCCTCCTAACGCTTATGTTCCTTATAATTCATATCCTCATTTTCTTCATGTACCTCAGTCAGAAGGTCAGCATTATAAACCTATTGAACTTTCCAGAACGCCCCCACGCGCTCAATCCCCTCATCCTTTAGAAAAGGACAATTTAAACTGTAATGATCTGAATTTTGAGCCAAAGGATTTGCTCGCCGGATGAGTCCGGGTCTTAAATTTTGGAACTCTTGAGTTCTTTGCTCTCTTATAAAAAGTATAAAATAGTATTATCGTGATATGCAGGTAGGTAAAGTCAGTAACGAAGCGATAATTTAAACCTTCGAAAGCAGTTTTATTTAAATGTAAGAAAGAAACAATAAACAATAAAAGAAATAACAATAAAAATAATGACTAAAAAATATGGCTGCTTGATTAACTCTCATAAACAATATATATAAAAATACAAAAATAGAAAATCCTAAACTAACTAAATTAACAGTAGTAAAAAAATAAATGTAAAACTAACTAACTAGCTTAAATCTAAGTGAAAGAAGTGGAAAAGAATAAAGAATGTAGAGAGAAGTGAGATGACGAAGAATTTAGAAAAGGTGAGGGAATATAGGAAAGAGAGAGAAAAGAAGCGAGACGGTACGCCGCTATGGTGCTGCATCGAGCTGCATTGGATCCGCCGCAATACTGTAAAAAGACAATATTTAGTTCTCGCCATTTGTAATTTTCCCGGGGTGAAATGCTCAATAATAATTTCCGCGAGGGAGGTTCTAGAATACGCCCCTAGCTACGAGACGAGCGAAAACTAGGTTTCGTGCACGACTAGAGATTTCTTAATCAGGATTTCTAGATGCCGTTTCCGTACGACATTCATGCTCTACGCGAAGCTAGTGCGGAAGGAGAGAGAGGGGGAAAGATACAGGTTACTCTTCCCTCAAGATGTACCTCGAGTCGAAGAGTAATACCTGGTGCATCAACTCGGTGAAGAGTGAGATGTACCTCGTCTTCACAGGGTCGGTTCTCCAGGAAATGGCGGGTCAGGATCGCGTCAGCCTTCCACGGATGTACCCCTGGTCAGACCTTGCATGGCAGGTAAGAAAAGAAGGAGGGCGAAGGGAGTTACTCTTGCACCAAGGTGCTTGAGTACTACTCCTTCTGTAGGAATACATCCACCAGGTCGGCCCCAGATGTACCTGAGATACCGTCCTCGAGGATGAGGTAGGCAGGGCTAGCAGCACAGATGTACCTGTGGTCTGCCTGCCCTGGGGAGGATGATCTCATTCCTCAGGAGAGACGTACCTCACCCTCGGCGATAGATAAGAAAGGAAGAGAATAGGAGGAAAGGAGAGAGCTGCTGTCGTCCAGCCTCGAGATGTGCCTCGAGTCCGGTCGACGGCGAACTGAGGAAATTGTACGTGCAAGCAAGTATATACCGCTTGACGTTTCTACTGGGAGCTATGGCGCGAGTGAGAGAGACCACGTGCTGCGCGGCAAAGTATGCGCGCTCGGTACTCTCCTCCTGGCTGCCGAGCTGAGAGCTCAATCGTATAGAATATATATATTCATGCATTGAAATGATTTGAAATAATATGCTGACAAAATACTTTTCGTTTCGAATTAATATTTAAAATAAAATGCTTTCGTTACATCCCCCCTACTAAAAAAGCGAATTCTAATGAGCGTCTTGGGGAATGTAATATGCAAAAAATAAAGAAAAAAAAAAAAAATAATTTTCAGTACCACTTACAAAATTTTTCTGGCTTTTCTAATGAATCCGTTGGTTCTCTCCAAGCGTAAAATCCACTTGCCATCGTTGACGGGCAACCGATAACGAGCGGGGCCAATCGGAACTTTAATCCATGGTCCTCCAGGAAGTTTAGAGATTTTAAATGGCAATTTTGAAAGTTCCTTTACCAGAGGAATTGGGTTTTCCTTCGAATTTTCAGCAGTGTTGTTATTTAGGTCGACTTCGTTGATGGTATCTTGGAGACTATTAAACAATTCTTCAAACGACTTCGGGCAATCTGACGATAATGGTTTTGGAGAAGGTAAGTTCTTTTTTACGATTATTGGGGTGGTAAGTAAAATGTCAGAAGTGATTTTGGGTTTATTAATTTTTTTCTTTTTAATAATTTGCGGTTTTTCTTTTTTAGGTGTAGTGTGAATCGGGTTAACTTTCTTCGGGCTTTTCATCTGCTTCATAATTTTATTTCTTGCGGTTAATTTCATCGAGGATAATTGTGTTGGGGTACGTTTGGTAATTTTACCACTCTTTTTAGGGGTAGGTTTAGCGGGCACAACTAATTTTGGGATACTTAAAATAGGTAATTTCGAATTTTGAATTTTTTTCTTAATTTTTTCGTTTTTTTCTAAATTAATCTTTTCTTCTTCTTTTTTACAGATATTGAGCATGGTGTTTTCAAAATTTCCTTTATGGATGGACGGCGGTATTTCC